TCTGCAGACATTTACTAATCAAAGTAAAAAGCAGTAGACAATCCAAATGAAAAGAAGATGAAAAAAATTACCCTGCATACAATTTCCATCTCCTCTAGTTGCAAGTACCAAGACCAGACTGAGTGATAGCTGTCACTTGTTTGTGATTCACTGTCTGAGGATGTTGAAGACAATTTATCTACTTACATAGTAGTGACTGGAGACCTCAGTTGGCTGGGACTATGACGGTCAAGGCCATCTTCTTTGTCCTATAGGACATTTTTCTATTAGTCATCCAGAGGTTTTGCATGTCTGACCCAGATTTTCAAAACCTGACAATCCTAGACATACGTCTTTATTCTCTGCGTATGTGTGAGCATGTATGATGAGTGCATCTCATCCAAGAAGCATTGCATGTTCTGCAGTTTGGAAGGTGAGATTTAAAAGAAAAATGAAGTGAAAAAGAGGAAGAAGAGTGCTTTTATAAAGGTCAACACCTGAATTATTGTTTTAAAGTTGTTCTACTTAGTTCTGCCCTCCAACATTACAAGTCAACAAGTGGGGTGCTTTTGGTAGCTTTGATGGAAGTCACTTTGAATTATCCCATAAGCTTTAATCATGTCCTTACCTCTTTTGTTTTATAGTTTTCAGTAAAATAGAAATGTGTGCATGGGGATTACTCATTGGAGTGAAAAAAAAAAGTGAAGGACTGAGTCTTTGAATTAAGTTTTAACATTTCAAGATGAACTTTCTAAACATGGAATGAGAGCTGGGCTGCTCTGTAAACAAATACACTCTGAAGAGTGTAAAGATAAATCAGCTTCCCTAGTCACTTTTGCATTTCTGTGAACCAGATAGTACAAAGAAAAGAGGAGGCCAGAAGGCTGCTGCTTGTTGCGAAATGTATAAAATCCATTAAGTGCCTAATTTCCAAAAAGGAGTTGCTTTTGGAAATTGCTAGTCATGAATGTCCTGCCATCAATGTCCTCCTTCACCCGTTCATGCTGTGGGTGGTAATGTCAGGACTGACTTGTGCTGGCTTGCCTTTAGCCAACCACCTGCTCCTGTCCTGATACCCAGCTGGGAGACTGGCACGGCTGGAGCTGCCAGAGCTCCATCAAGTGTGAATGTGCTTGGGTTTACTTCATCACACAGTTAGGGTCTGTTCCTATATGGCCTTCTGAATTAAATTCAAATACACCAGCAAGGAAATGGGGAAGCCACTCACCGGTTTTCTGCACTTACTATCATTTTGCTTCAGCAGCTGCCTTTGTACTTTAGGTGACACCGTCTCCCAAGGTGACGTTAGCTGTGTTGTCATAGCACTAAATCTAAGTGTTAGACATAACTGAGTCAAGTGTGCAAAACTGCACAGGTATTTTTATTGTGAAAAACAATTGTTGCTAAATAACAACCTCACAAGGAAAATGTAATTATAAAGATTCTTTTCCAGCCCCTGCTCTAATTTAATGAACAGGATTCTTCTGTACTGCTTTGCAGACACAAGCTGTTATTGAATTACTGCATTAACTTGGGGTTGCTGTTTTACCTTTGTCCCACTCAGCAAAAGAGCTTTCAGACTTTTGAACTAGAAATTATATATTGAGTATTTCAACAGGACAAGGGGGAATGGTTTTAAACTAAAAGAGGGTAGATCTAGGCTAGATAAAAGGAAGAAATTTTTTGTGGTAGGGATGGTGGGACAGTGGAACAGTTTGCCCCAAGAAATTGTGGATGCTCCTTCCCTATAAACATTCAAATTCAGGTTGGGTGGAGCTCTGAGCAACCTGGTTGAAATGCCCCTGCTTATTACAGGGATTTGGACTATATGACCTATCTGACCAAAATTATTCCATGATTATCTCTGTCCTTCTAACTAGAATGGTGTTCATGAAAGAATTTGAGATTGATGGTATTTTAACTATATTCATTTTACCTTGTCTCATTGATGCAGTACCTGCCAACCAAAATTGAACAGGGCTGGGAAGAAGCTTTGTTTTTAAGAAGTATTCATTAATTCTTGCATAGAAAAAAGGTTCATAAATTCTGTTTACATCATAGTGTCATCAGCAGATTCCTCCACATGCTTCTAAGAGTTCAAGTTTGGGCTGAAAAGGTCAAGCAACAGCTTCTTGAACAGACATACTTTCCAGGCCATTCTTTTCATTATGTGTTGGGTGGCTTTTGGCATTTTTAGTTGCTGTGGCATCTACCACAAAAAAAAAAAAAGGAATAGCTGGAGAAATGCATTGCTCGGCTGAGCAAGTTCTCAGGGCTCAGGGCCTGGAGAGCACATGGTTGTCAAGTCTCTCGTGCCAGAGTCCCCCTGCTACGTGACATGTTCCCTCCTCAGGATTCTCTCTGCCACAGGCTCTGCTGCCAAGAGGCCAGAAGGAAGCTGTGTGTCCAGGTGTGCAGCCTTGCCATCCAGCCTGGAGCAGGGAATGTCACTCTGCTGCGCTGCCACCTGCCTGAGTCCAATCAGTAAGGCCACAGCTATTGTCCATTTTATTTCCAATGGACTTTGTCCTTCTCTTGTGAAACCACTGCCAACCTTGCCAGCAGTCTTAGCTGGTAAGGCCAACACCTCAAAATTAGAGGAAACAGAACACAGGACTTGCACTCTGACATGGCCTGGCTCACTACCCTGTAATGAGAGCTCTCCACTAAAATCTAAAGAGGGAATGGAACTACATATGAAGAAGAGGTCTCTTCAAATGAATGTAAGTCCAAACAGCTCATTTTGAGTTTTTGTGGGCGATGGTGTGTTTCCCACAGAAGAGGGTGTGCCCACAGAGCTTTCTTCTCTCATTGGCTGAGAGCCATTTCAGGTCAAACAGGATCAGGGTGATGGAGATGCTATGCTGAAGGAAAGGAGAACATTGACAAAACCTCCATTTTAATCAGGGCTCTCCACTGCAATAAGTGGATTAAAAAGTCTCTATTTAAGAATTGACTGCAAAGCTAACTTCATGTGTTTTTTGTAACTCTGAAGCAGCCCTGGCTTTCTGTATCACTTCTGGCTACCTCTGATACAGAATTATAGAAGGAGGGGGAAGATATTAGTCCTACTCCATGATCTTAGCTCTTTCTATTAATATTGGATTAATTATTTCCTTATCAAATATAACTTGTTTTGTACTAGAAATTTCTACCGAAATTTTCAATTGCTTAAAGGCTGCAGGAGGATTTCAGTAGGATTTGAAATTATTCACTAGTTCCTTTGACTAGCTATTGTGTTGGTCACCTATTTTCAGAGGTGAAATTAAATTAGTTAAAATTAGTTAAAATTAGTTAAAATATTCACCTATTTTCAGAGGTGAATATTTTAATACAATCTTGACATTTTAAATTTTGAGCATTTTTTTCCAGCCTCCATGCAGGCTTCTAACATGGGGATTGCAGCTGAATGTTCATCTTGTGTGCTTAGGGCTTGTGATGATAAACTTCCCAAGAGCTATTCCTTTCCCACTGAGATGCAGCATGCCAAGAGAACTAATGGCACTCACTTAAGCCATGGTCATCTTGGTCAAAGAAGAAAGAGACCAAATTACTCACTTCACTAAGAAAAGCCAAATACTAAAAAGTAACAGACAGTGGAACAAAGTTGATAAGATTAAATTAGAGTAGAAAATATGTTATCCAAAATATTGCTGTACTGGAAAGAGATTTTAGAAAGCATTATGGTTATATTAAGCATGTCCTTTAGGGATAAAAATGTATAAGGCAGATGTGATTCTTCCCATTTAGCCATTACATTTAGAAAATTTTGTCAATATGTTTGCAGTATGTTGAAAGTAACAGCCAAGACTGTTTAACCAGAATTATGGAAATATCTCACTTTGCTCTTCAGTGGAATTAATACCCAGGGGAACATGTCACCATTTCTGTCAGTGAGAACTCTTCTCAATGGGAAAAAAAATCAATTCCATAATCAATCCAAAGTATTTTTCACATTTTTCTGGGGGAAACTATAAACAGTGGGCAAAGAAAACCATCTCCATCTGGGAGAGAGTAGTGTTTTTCACAGCAAAGGGTGTACCTCTGATTTTCATGGAAACCACTGTCAGATTCCAGGCAGAGAGGAAGATGTCTCTGCTACTTATTCAGGGGGCACAAATTACTCTGTAAAGCCCTGCATGTTGCGATAAGGCACAGAAACCCCAAACTTTTGTACAGATAGCAAGGGCACCTGATGCTTTTCAGAGAGGAGGAAGTTTATTTTCTTCACAGTGCGCTGTGTATTGTGTTGTACATCTCCACCCCAGAGCTGATAGGGTTTAATTCACCCCATCATGGCACTTGTTTCTTCCCCTGTTGCAGCCCATCAGTGAACTCTGCAATCCTGCAATGTCTGGCACTGTCAGAGATACTGTCATTTTCACTTAAATCCAAAACAATAACGTGTTTGTGGGTTCATGAAGCCCTTGTGGCATCCCTCACCCTGAGCTGCACTCTGTACACGAACGCAACACGCGTAGCTACCAGGGATGAGCAGATGGTAGGTCACTGCTCATCTCTCATTAAGGCAATTAGTGACCTGTAGGAGATGATCAATCAGGGATTTTATCCATCTCGATGTGCCAGTGTCTGGTTGCCTGTACCGAAGGATTCTGTTTACAGCCCAGTTCTTAATTTCTCCCATTCCTGCTCATCATTATTATTATCCAAAGAGGCTTTTTGCTTCTGTTGGCAAAAGCAGAATCCCCCATGCCTCAGTTTTAGCAGCTAATGTCCACAATAGGGGCAACTGATCCAGCACAGGAGTTAAATATAACTGTGTCTAGTGTAAGGAGAAGATTTAATGGGAAATGGTTGGCATTCCTTCTTCCTAAAGGCATGGAGAGGGAGGGGGAAGAGAGAGAGAGAGAGAGAGAGGGAGACGTACACAGACAGACACACGCATCCCATCGTGAGGGCAGAGGCAGAGAGCAGACAAGGCAGAGAGGGAGAGAGGGGAGAGAGAGAGCCCCAAAGCAGCCTTGTGCCTCTGAGCTGGGATCTGCCAGGGCACAGCCAGCATGTTGGTCCTCAGCCCGCTTTTCCCAGGATCTTACCTGCTGCTTTTCTTCTGCTTTGCTTTGCCTCAGACTGCGTACGCTGACAATGTCTTCTCATTTTCAGCAGGTAAATTGCTTTAAGTCATTACTTTTCCTCGCTTGGAGCACTCTGCACTCTGATTCTTGCACTTTCTGGTGATTGGGAACACAGGAGGAAAAAAACCCCTTCGAATTGCAGATCCCAGCTGAGGGATTTTGCATTGCAGATCTGCTCTGCCACAAGTCAGGACATTTTGTTGCTTGGTTGGTTTTGCTTTTTGCTTTATAATTTCTGGTTTTAAACCCCTCCCTTCCCTTCCCCATGAGAAATAATGGGCAAGATCCTCAGCTGTTCAAAAATGCTTTTTTTTCCATTGGCCTCTGTGGTGCTGTGCTAAGGCATGGATCTGGCCCAATTAGTTTATTACTTGCATGTCTGCATGTTTCTTTCTATTTTGGATGAGTTTAGGCAGAATACAGCAAGGGGAAGAAAATGAATCTCAATGTATATCTGCTTCTATAAATAAAGCCCTGACCTCAATGAGTGCTGCCAGAGCCCGGCTGGATGTTAGCAGAATAAACATCATCTGGCTCTGGCTATGACACTAACAAATACTCGGATGACTTACATAGCAAACAAGAGCCCAGTGCATGGAAAATCCCTGCTAGGCAAAGACAAAACAAATTAGTTGTCAGCTGAGCCAGGGCCCTGGAAATCCCTCTTAATAGATTTTACAGTTTCAGCAGCAAGACTTCCCTTCAGTCGCGTTCTGTGCGAAGGAAGGGGAAAGGCGGCGACAGTTCTGACCCCATCTCCTTTGAGGAACTTCCACCAGTTTACTCCCAAATTGCTGTCTCCCACCTTCTGTCTCTCATTCAGTATCAATACAGATGCTTCTAACTAATGTCCTGTGTTCCTTGTGTCAGATTTGAGATGGTTCCATGAGGTTGAGGTTGGCAGGTCAGGGCCTGCTGTACCTATAGATCCTCCCCATGGCTTCCACAGTGATCAGAGGGCTGAGTATTTTAAGTCTGTACATAAAATCAAACCTAGACATGGACTTAAAGGCACACAGCCTTTCTTGCTCTCAAATCCCTCTGCTCTACCCATGAAGCCAAATGGTTTACATTCAAGCTCTCTAAGATGCTGAAAAGCCTTTAAATTTGTTACCATTTCTTTTCGATTGGGATGTGCTTTTTCCGTAATGTTAAGGTTAGTTAACAATGAGGTACAGGAATCACCAGGATTTATTTTGCCTGATGTACTCCAAATTGCTTTGCAATAACATCAGACCTCAAAACTTGTTTTGAAGACCTTTGTGTTTCTTTGACACCTGCAGATGACACACAGGCAAGTGAGAATGTGATGTTTCCATTGCCTTTTCCTGTGCCTCACACTTGTGTGTCTACAGAAGGCATTTGAGTTGTCATGTTAAATAACAGTTCAACAAATAACCTGCCCCTAAAAAGAGGGAAGACTTGTCATCTCAGCTGAAACCATAGTAGAAGAGGTAAACATGAAGGAAAATGCCAGAGCCTATTCCTTGCAGTGGAGCGTTTTCCAGAGGGCAGTCCTGGGCTCTTGTCTGCAAGATCCATTGGGCAGATCCCCACCCCAGTCTGCTCCATGGCAAGGTCCCACACTCTGCTCTTCTGGCCAACACAATGAAAATCACCTTTATATCCAACAAGCTCTTAGTGAGGCTCCTGCCATGTATGAATTGTCAATGTTTGCCTGCTAATATGTGGGAAAAATAGCAGTTAGCCAAAGATTCTGCCATAAATTCACAGCCACAGGGCTGGAATGAGACATACCTACGTGTCATTATTACTTGCTAATCAGGGCTATTTGGTATTAAAAATATATAATAAGGTATGCCTTTAGAGCTTTGGTTGCATCTGCATTTTAAGAAACTTCTAAGAAAAAAACAGTAAGTTTCAATTTTTCTGGTAGAAATCTGACAGTGGGCACAGAAGATGAATTAATTCTGTTTACTGTGCAGGTGAATTAATTCTGCTTACATTCTCAGTTATTTTAGTGATTGCTCAAATGTTCTCCGACTGTCAGCTGAGTCAATTATTTGTATTTGGCACCAGGATGCAATTCCACATTTAAAGAATGAATTTCAACAGCGCACTTTCAAATTCTGGAACTAATCCCATCTAGCAGAGAGAATGTTCTTAAGTGATGGCTTATCTTTCCTATAGTTGGGAAAAAACATTCAGGTATTTCCCAGGTGTGTCTGGAAATTTCTAGCCTAAAAGTACTTTTATTTCTATCCTCACACATCTTTGCATAGCAACAGGTCACAAATAAAAAGGCTTACAGATCCCAAAGCAGTAACTAGAAAGCAAAGGGGAAACAGCCTGTAGGGTGGAAAAGTGTTTGTACAATAACTGGGGAAAGAGGAATAATCTGGATCTTTGTTTTCTGGCAACTCCACCTTAGAGTCCCATCAGCGTCACGCAACAGTGCATCCTTGTTTCTAGAAGTATTTTGAGGGTCATGTCAGATCCAAAGAGTTGAATCTCATGGTGCTGAAGTGTCATTTCTGGAGAAAATATTCCAGGGAATTATATTATAGCATGTTATAAATATTATAACATGTTATAAGAGCATCTAGCTGTGGTTCACATGGCAGTGAAGACCCCCAGGGTGGGTAGCTCGGCCCCTGGAGACAGCAGGTTATTTTCAGGGTAACCTGTCATACCCCACCCTTACACCACTTGTGTTTGTGGTGTCATTTACATCTATTTTTCAGAGCTCTGCCCTGCTGAGGTTCCTGAACTGCTGCACTCACATGATGAAGGCATGAGTTCTGTAGTCATTTTTAGTAGGGCTATATGAACCAGTCTGCACCTTGTAAGAACCAGCCTGAAGGAAGCCACCTTCCAAATTCAGGTAGTAGAAAGACTCTCTTTCTCCCCTTCTCCTTCCTTCTCCTCCCCTTTACTGCTCATCCAGGCCCATCAAGGTTTTGCAGAGAGATGGGACAGTATTTAAATTACCAGAAGCATCCAAAGAAAAAGAGCTGCATCTCAGTGCTTCTTCTGGCCTTGTGTGCATGCCACAAGTGCATCCCTTGATTCAGTTGACTCCTACAGTCAATATTGATTCTTAGTCCTTTGGAAATATTATAGTGGATCAGTTTAAAAGAACTCAATGGGATATCAGAGCACTATTGGCAGTATCCCTCACACTTTCTTTGCCTTTGTCCTCTTATTTTCCTGAAGAAAAGGAACATTTTATCTCACTGGGCATTAGGTTATCCCCTTTGACTCAGGAAGGTATAATATTTGCAGCCAGACTTCATGTGGCAGAGCTGCAGGAAAGAATTGAGTTTTTTTGTGAACTGACAATGTTGGAGCTGTGGTGATGGGCAAGGTGGGCTGGGAAGAGCAGGGTGGGGTGTAAGGGGTGTCACTGTGTGGGGTGACAGCCATGGCTGGGCAGCTCAGAGAAGGGACCTTGGGACCCACTGGGGTGCTGTGCTGTGGGCAGGGGGCATTGAGCATTTGTGAGAGAAACAGCAGGAGAGAAAAGACACAGAAACAAGGGATGATTCCTGGCACTGGGGGAGTTGGGATCAGGGCTGTCTTTCTATAAAAGGAACATCTGACCCCATCATCAGGGTTTGGTTTTCTTTTCCCTGCAGGAATCCAAACTATTGTCATAATGGACAGCAAAGGTGTCAGGTGGATGTATTTTGTTTCTAAAGAGAGTAATTGTAAATATTTATTTATGTAAAATCACAAGAGAATGACTTATCAGTGTTTGCAAGAGAAAGGAAGTTGCAGAAGGAATTTAAAACAAGATGAAAAGTAAAAGCTTGAGGACTCTCAAAAGGCAGCAGCCAGAGCCTGCTGGGAAAACAGCCCAAAGGGTGACTAGCAAGCAGAAATATCAGACCAGGGAAGGAAGCCTGGCTGTGCTCTGTAAAGTCAGCATGGCCCAGGAGGTGCTGAGCATCCTGGTACCACTGGTCAGTGGGTTTCTCATGGAGCAAACATAAGCAGGAAACCTGGTGTTAGATTAAAATTCCTGATGGAAATGAGCCACTGGCCAAGGCTACAGCTTAGAAGCAGGAAAGCAAAGTATCATTGGCCATGAGAGGGCAGTCACCCAGCTGTGGAGCTGGGCAGCCAAAGGTGCTGGCCCAGGACGTCTGAGAGATTTCTGTCTTCTTTGTGATTCATATGAGCATGAAAGGGAAACAAAATATTCTTTCAGCAGATTCTCTGTTTAGCTTCAGAGAAGAAAATAACCTTGGGATTGGCTGGTTTAACTTGATAGCCCAAATGGGGAGCTGGAAAGATAAGCCAAAAGAAGGAAGGTATATGGCTACCTTTCTAAGCTGATAAAAAAGACAATTCCTGAGCAGCCTCTAGGGAAAGACTTGGACTGGTAGCAAATTTACAACCTGGCTTGGTGTGGTTTCTGTTGCTTCAGGTGAATGGGTCTTTAAATAAGCAGAGTTTTAAAACCCACCTGATTTGACTTTACCTGTATATTCTCCCCTGGCAGATATGACCTGTGAAAATCCCAGACTGGGTGTCCTGCTCTGGTCAGTGTAGATGATACTGAGGAAAGAAACCACCTTAGGACTCATAGAGCTTCTCTGGTGTGTGTGCTGTGCTGAGTAAGGTGAGAGCAGAGCAGCCACATGGCTGCACAGCCTGTCCTGACTCCGAGCCTGCATCCACCTTCTCCTCAGCAAGGACAAAGGAAGGGAACCCTGATGTCATCCTCAGCAGCCAAGGTCCCCCAGAGATGCTCTGAAATTCACAGTAAACCAGTGAGCAGGAGCCCACTTGATCCTGTGGGTAAGGGACAAGGAAAGGACATCAGAGGCAGTTCAGGAGGTTGGGTATTTGCCTTGCAGCAGTAAACACAAATCAGAAGAGGATGTGGCCTCTAGTGAGGAAGCTGGAACCTGTTTGCAGCAAAGCTCCTTAAGTGCAGCCCTGGCCTTGCATGGAGGAGAAGGAAGAGGCTTCTGACATATTTATGGCATTACTGGTTGACAAGGTGCTTGTCTTGTCAAAAAAGGTTCACTGATAATGCAGATGAAGGGAAGGGGTTCAGTG